AAAAAAAAAAAAAAAAAGAATTAGCTACAACCTTTTATGGTCATACCCATGTAATGTAAAATTCTATATCTGTCACCCTGTGCCTCCTCTCCAGGGTAAGTTCACCACGGCAAGTGACGTGTGGGCGTTTGGTGTCACCCTGTGGGAGATCTTCACTCTGTGTAAGGAGCAGCCCTACAGTCTGCTGTCCGACGAACAGGTCATAGAGAACACTGGCGAGTTCTTCAGGAACCAGGGCAGACAGGTGAGATAAATCAAATGCACCCACAAAGGACAGAGTTCAGTACAATTTGGATGTGTCATTCATCCCAAATCAGCCAGTAGTCTTGAATCTGGGTGTGCCTGATTGAAGTTTGTGATTCAAGTTAACTGGATGCAGGCTAGGACTACTTAACATTTTTACACATTTACAATTGCATAGAACTAGCTTATAACTCTCTGACAAACTCACAAAACTTAGCAGCCACAGTTCCTCCACATGGGGGAGCTGTTCAGTCATCGTTTTGCCAGTTTTACACATGCCATGCAATCACACTTACAGCAATTAATTGACAGGACTGGAAAGCAGAAAAATACTTTTATTCTACATAAAATTATGTATATTTTTTCAGACATATTTTTAAATATTTCTCTTTTTTTATTAATTACTGGACAATCGTACCTCTTTATGCCTTTAAAATTGACTCATATTGATCTGGTTGGTTGATCTGGTCATAACTCATGCACTACTACATGTTTTATTTTAGGGGTCATGTGCTAAAGCTTTGTCCGATTCCTCCTTACTATCTCTTTAACTCTCCTGTATTTCTCTACTAGATCTTCCTTTATGCCCCTCCACTCTGCCCACCGTCTCTCTTCGAGCTGATGATGCGTTGTTGGAGTCGCGACATACCTGATCGGCCCACCTTCGAGGGACTTTACCAAGCCCTTAGGCCACATGTCAACCAGTGAGCCGACGCCACTGGGATGTATCACTCTGGCTTTCCTCAATAGGTGGTTTGTCCATCTCTGGACTCCTGTAAGATGACAGACTGACATGAGAAGACTGGAAATGCGTTACAAGAGTAAGTCGCTGTCAGAGAGAATGAAGAAACTTGCAGAGTTGTGGTCTGAAGGTTGGTTTGCTTTTTGGCTCGATTCTGAGAGATGAGATGGAGATGGAAGGGGGAAAGGCTGGTCAACTCAGAGGAGAAACTTTTTGCGAAATCTAAACCTTGCAGTCGTTAGTGAACAAAGATTTCTATGCTTTTTAAAGATTTCTATCATTGCTGATTTCATAGTTTCATCCATCTCTTAAAAGCTCCTTTGACCAAAACGTCTTATCTGACCTTTGGACATATCTGTTTTTTATGTTGTTAAGGTGCCAATGGTGCTGTAAACTTAATTTTCTCCCTCACTTTGGCTTTTTAAAGATGCCATAAACTGGACAGCCTCTTCAGTCTTGGTAGTTTATTCTGTCCCTGTGGTTGTTATTATTATTGTAAAGCACTGTCTGTGTCTCTCAGTTATTCGTGTTCATATATTAACCCACACTGGAGCTAGGGCTAGGGTCAAATTGTAGTTTAGTTTTATTTTTAGATTTTTATTCTATTTTATTTTTCTCGTTTTACAGTATTTGACTTTTGTTGGTCTTTTTTGTGGATATGAATGTTGTTCAGCTGAGGTTCACATTACAGTGCCAAGAGGCTGCGTTAAAATCTGTGTGGTTCACAGACTGAAAATCAGTCAGTGGGTAACTGTGGGTAATTAAGAAAAGAATCTCGATTGGAGGCAGATTGAAACCAGATAGGAAGAAAAGGACTTTATTGCCAAAGAGAAATAAAAAGTGTAAATGATAAAACAGTCACATGATTTTATCAAATTTAACTAATCTGCCTGAATGGACTTGGTCAAACATTATGGCATTATCATCTGCCAGTTGTTGGAAGCTTTTATTCAAAGTGCCTTACATTTGTAGCATGAGTGGTACCTGTGGGAATTAAGCCAACATGAACAACATGGGTACTGCTATCGGAGAGAGTAGTAATCTAATGCAAGAATCTAATTTCAAGGTATGACTTTAACTGTGTCTGTGTCTGGCCTATAAAATATATGTTAGGTGTGTATATGTCTGTGTTGAAGCCCATACGCCTGTAGTTGTATATTCCTTATCTCCATTAGTCATTTTCTGCCTTGATGGAGCTAGTTGTGGTTTGGTCTCATTTGTTTGTTCTTTCAAAGATTAGCCAGCTAGCCTTAAAGCATTAAGATTTGGAGTCACTAATTTCATTACTAGAATACAACAACAATTAAAGCAAGCCACACTGTTCAAAATTGAGATCGAAATAATTACCAAACAGAATTGGGGCCTTAGCATTTTGGCAAAGCAACAACTTGTTGTGTTGTAGGTAGGCTTGGCTCAGTTCTAAAGACAGCAAAGTCTACTTGCTTTTTCTCTCCGGTGTTATGTTAGACGAGGTTCGCTTTAGTTTAAGGATATATGCAAGCTAACTACCTTCATTGGTTTAACTATCTATCAGTACTTTTTTATGTTATCTTTAAACCAGGTTTGGCTCCAGTCCCAAAACGTTGGAGTTGTTGGCTGGCTTTCTGTGCAGCTAACTACACAATTGCCTAATTTGTCTTGTTTTGTCTTCGCCCAGTTTGACAGTGTTGTGACAGTGATAAGATTGGGTCTGGTATGATTTTAAAGACATGCTACAGCAGGCAAAATTTCAGCAAGTGGAGACAAGACAGGACACCTACATTTTGGGCCATGCATAGCAGAGCAGAACTACTGTGTTAGAATGGGACCCTCTGAGTGGAGGGCCAATGAGCCACTAGAGACTGAGGAGGATGAGCAGAAACACCATGGACAGATGAAGCCATGAGACAAGTCCCGCCTCTCACACCATTAACCCGCCAATCACTGCAGCAAATCCTTATTTCCCTTAACAAGATTCACTTAAGAAAATACACTGCCATTAGAGGCTGCAGGGAACAGGTAAAAAGAGTTTTCTTTACAGAACTAACACAGCATAGATGCAGCACAGAACAAAATGAACAGAGGGCTGTGGACTTTAAGAAAACTTAATTAGGATGTCCCAATCAAGTCTTTTTGCCCATGATCCCGATCCCGATGTTAAGAACCTGTCGAGACCAAGTTCCAATCTGACTTGTTTTTTCCGAGATAATACAGTTGCAGTGTCCACTTCAAGTTCATTCAAGTTATTCAAATCAATCCACTGCATACGCTTGACAATTAAATAGCTCTGTAATGCATTAAAAAAAATTGGCAGCATCCAATTAATTGAATTAGTTCAGTGGTTTACATTTGTTTGTTTGTTTACAAAATAACCAAGTAAAAAAACTTTATAAATAGCTCTTATTAATTTCACTTTGTGCTGCATTGTAGTAGTAGAACACTAAAAAGGAGTAATATAATCACAACAAAACAAAGTAGCCAAACGAGGCATCGGTTGACGAGCAACTCCCGTGTTCTGAGTCTGTCCGTGGCAAAAACAAGCACTTTTAGTGGATGTACTTTGATTGGCGCAATTGCCCCCAAGGATTACATTGCGGTCAGTGCAGACAGGCTTTGTGGCTGCCATATTTTATGTCCCATTCCCCTTATGTCACTCAGTTATATGCATTACCTGTGTGCAATTTCAAATCTTATCCTCGCTAAAATGTAAAATGGCGCAAGTACAAATCACCATCACCTTCACAGGAAAGAGGGATGAAGACCAAATATGTTAAGTTTGTTGTTAAGTGTTTTTGTTGTTACAGTAGTGTTTTGTTATCTGTACTGTATCTTAACACTTCTATGAGTGTGTATGTGTGTGTTTAAGAGAAAATGAGTTTTGTGAATGAGTGTTTTTGACATTCCTTTGAGCACCGGGAGCTAGTTGGGATTAAAGTGGTTTAGCAGATTTGTTCTGTTGTGCCAAATTATGTGATTAAAGGAGGGACGATTTTATTATTTTATCGTTTTTTTTAAGTAAGAAGAAAAAGGACAGAAAGTAAGGAAACCACTAAACTCAATCTCCCAGAGTCCTTTGCTACAGTGAGCCTGTGTTTTTTGTTCTGGTTCCATTAGAGATATAGACAAGACTTTTAGTTTGATAGTGTACAGTATAAGTGATCTATAATATCTCAGTGTGTGAATGCAGATTAGGTGTGTTAATTGTTATTGATAATTGGTTATCTATCAGAATTTATAGTAGCTATTTCTCTGATTATTTCTATTCTGGGAAGGTGTTGGGTTTTTTTTTCTTTTGTTTCCAACAGGAATGCAGCAGTTTTGAACATTTCTAACAGAGATGTCCTGTTTCAGACATGTATTGTACATAGGCTAGTAGCTGTGTATATTAATATATTGGGAGTTGGGAACTTTGTGTTCTGTTGTCCCAAGTAATTTTCACTCTGTACCCTCTCATGTCTTGGTTAGTTTTTCTTATAATAAACAGTCAACTTTGTCAAACAGAAGAGTAGATATTGTGTTTTTTTTCTATATCAGTGAAAAAAAACTATGTGTATATATTTTTTCATCTTGTAGATCTGCATACTAAGTTGTTGCAACTGAATTGTTTAAGTCCAAATAACTTAGTTTGAGTCCCCAGAAGGATCCCAACGTTTCCAGAGAAACTAACTTTGAAAATGTGTATAACATGATCTAGACATGAGAATATTTCTATTTAATGATATGATATAGTCATAAAAACACGGCTTTGGGATAAAAATGTTCCTTGGAATTGGGTCAAAATTTTTACCTCAAAATGAATTTGTGGGAGTTTTCTTCATTGTGACAGTGAAAACCACATGATGAGTGATCTTACTTCCTTCTATTCCAGCTTCAACCTTTGCAACTCACTGCATCTGGATAAAAGAATCAGTACAATTTAGAAAATGTACATCCAGTGATACCAACTGTTCATGCGCTGCATGTCAGCAGGGGGCGGCAGAGAGGCTGAAACTTCTACCTAAACTCTGAATCCTGCAGAGAACATCCACCCTATGGCACAATTCATGTGATTAATTTACTTGTGAAATGAACTTATGAACACCTCGGGCAGCTAAATCCAACAGTAAGACTGATCATAGAACCTCAAGTGGTACTGAAGGAATGCCAGACCAATTTTAACTGATAAACATTCTAACAGCTCATTTGAAGTTGGAGCCTGTTTGGGCATTCACACAGAGGATTCAGTTAGTTAGCAGCATGAACTCTGAAGGTCTCGGCAAACAAAACACTGAATTTTGCTTTAGGGTGGAATTTCTTCCCTTTTTCCAGGATAAACAATGGCTTAAGTGTTCCAGTTTAATAACTGGGTTCATGGTGTGTAGGAATGTTTTTGTTACCCAAGACACTGGTAATAAAACTTTACAGCCAATAAATAGGGATACAATTAGTACTTTGCATTGATTAAAGCTGAATTAATATGTCTTTATTAAGGTCAAGCAGAGGGTGCAGAAGAACTCCAAATCAAGCTGACAAGTACACAGGTTAACATGTTAGCAACCATCTGCCTACTTCCACTTCAGGCAGACACAACGCCATGATAATCCCACTGGAGTGTTTGTGTCCAGCCAATGAATCTGAGTCTGGTATATACTTTTCTCTTTAGTTTTGGTTTGGTCTCTACCATTTCCTGAGAAAAAAGTTCTCTAACTGCGTCTGTCAGCTGTTTGGTGCTGAGCTGTTTTTTTGTAAAGCATGGTTTTAAATAAATAGATTATCATTATCATTTATATAGTATATAATATATTTATATTATCATAATAATTTATATTATCATAACATCATTTTTAATCATATCCTTCTACCTTGCTGCTGTGTCAACCTGAATTTCTCCTGAGGGGGATAAATAAAGGAATATCTTATCTTATCTTATCTTATCTTATTATTATTATTATTACAGTTATTATCACAGGGTTTGTTGTCAACTCTGAAGCAAACAGAAAATGTTCTGCAAAAAAAATAGGAGCTACGAGGGGCTAAAAAGCTCGGTAGAACTGCAGAGTTAATGGCACTTCACATTACACACTTGTTAAGAAAGCATAATCAGTGATTATTAATCACTTATCAAATCAAGCCCTCTTACACATCTATATTTCAGCCCTGCAAACTTCTGTCCAGACCTATTGATTGATCTCAAACTACCAGTAACCTATGTAGACTTTGTTCAATGAATACGCAACCTGAAAGATAAGCACAAATCTTGTGCATCTTACTTTTACATGAAAATACCATCATTCTCATTAAAGCAGCTATGGCAGATACCTCCGACAGTTTTGTCTTGCTTGGACATCGTCTTTCTCTTTTGAAAAGAAGGAATCAGTTACTGTATGAATTGGATAATGATGGTAAGGTGTTACAAAACTTATGCAGCTGCTCTTCACCTTTGTGAGAACCAAACTCGCTATAATTGTCCTTGGCGGAAGCAAAGCTAAATTTGACAGAGAAAGAAACCAAAAGCAGAGGTTTGTTTGCAGACGTGGGCTTAGTGACCGCAGCTTTCATAAGGGTGATTTAACAGTCGTTCAGGGCCCAAAGGCAAGTCCTACAGGGAGATAAACAATGGTCCAGGTTTCATTTTGATAGAAGTAAAAAAAAAAATTCGTTTAATGTTGCCAAAGCCCTCTGCAGCTTCAGGTATGAGGAATAAATAACTCTAGTTTGGTCTAAAAATAAGTCTCAACACAAGGAGTTTTGGACAGACGTGCAAAGGTTTACACAACACTGGGCAAGGTGACAGCAGCTTTCATAAGTGTTTTTTTTCAGTGGCGTGATGATGCTAGAGTAGTCCCAGCCAAACCCAACCTGACTGTAATTGTTGGTGCTGCTCTGCTCCCTACTGTCCTCCTGAAAGTGAGAGGAGGTTTGGTCAAGATGATGATTATTTTTATCTCTTTTTATGTGAACTCTGTCACGTCCACAAATGCATTCAGAGCAGATTTAAAGTTCAAGTTTTTCTGCTCATTTAGTATCACTTTCCTAAGTTTTTATTAGTGTTTATTAATGACAAAAATATGAAGTAAGCACAAAACATGTATTAGCAGTGATTAACCACCAATTCCAGAGGTGAGTTGAGAACTAAGTGCATGAAGGGACACATGTTTGTATTTTCAGAAACTGTTTTTTAAGAGCAGTGACTTGATGACATTTAGTGAACTGGTTTAGGGGATGGTTATTCATTTGGTTTTAATAAAAACTCATCACTGAACATCTTCGCTTCTCAACTCACTAAAATATGTCTTCATTAATATGTTAGAAATAAATGGAAAACAGGTCGAGGAATAAAGTTGCAGAAAGGCATGAAAGGCAATGCGCATAAATGTATATGATAGTTAGCATACATTTATGTCACTATGTATGCATGACGTGGTGGCCTTTATACATATACACAGTGTGATTTTGTTCTGACAGCTACCCTTACTGACTTCTTTTACCCAAGTTTCATTTTGGGTTTTGTGTTACTAAAGTAAATTACATTAAATTAAAGTCCGTAATTTAAGCCTGCTAGCTTTCACAGTCCAGTTTGAGTTTACTTCTTTAGGTCAACTTAGGTTTGATCATTTCAGACATTTTGAGTTCCATTTACACTGACAAATATTTGCATCAATTGTTATGACTCTCACTATTTTTGATTGTTGCGGGCCAGCAAAATTCCAGAAATTTACTGTGGAACTAACATCTTTAGGCTGTGATGCACTGCACAGGTTATTTTGATGTTTACAGCCTTTTTCTTTTGTTTTGACATATTTTAAAACATAACAATTTAGTTAATGTTAACTTTTTCCTAAAAACACACAAATTATTATATTCTAAATTTAAAAAACCTGGCTGCACCTTGGCCCATTCCTAAGACACACAGACAACCACTGTTGTAAAAACTGTTTAAAACTACTTTTCCCCTTTGTTTCCAGCTTTTTTTTTTCTTTTTTTTATCAGTTTTGCTATGCAGGTCCTTAGCAGCCATCACAGCTCCACTGATAAAGTAAAACATAAGCACAGGAGCAACTCAAGGCGTAATATGGATATTTCCAGGAAGTTGTATGTTAAGACATACTGTATTATATTATTGAAAGTAAGAGTATTTTGGAAGAATACAATGGGACCAAGGACAGAACCCTTTGGAACACCTCACGGTAAGTATTTTGAGGGAGGAGGAGGATAGATTAACTATTGAGATAGAGAGTGTCATATTGGACAGAAGTTAATCCGTTAATCCGTTCTCTAATATTTAAACTGAATGGCTACAGAACAGTTAAGCTCCTAAATCTGACAGAGCTTTGCTCTCACTGTTGAGCCACACAGGGCATAACAGTTACCAACGAATTAAAAGCAACACCCCTATCATTCACCCGTAAATTACACATCAGCTCATAATACATAAAGATAAACTGAGGAATGCTTTGAGACCTATTAACAATTCTATTTTACTTGGCTGTAGGTAAATGTAGTGAATGCCATTTTAAGACTCCATTTTGATTCTTATTTTGCCAAAAGGAAATTTCTCTTGATAACTTCAGAAAATTACTTCATAATTCAAAAGCCAGGAGGAAATGGGGTAAATTATTGCTGAATGAAGCTTATTAAACTTTTAATGGTTCCACATTGGGAAATTGGGACTGTGCAGTATTTTAAAAAAGCAAATAAAAAACGAAAAGCTCAAACACATGCAAATAATAATCCAAGATTTAGCTCGGGTTGCTTTAATGATCCCCTTTTCTTAACAATTAATTTAATTTGTAACATAATTAACAAAATCAGCTTGTAATGAGTTGCTCAGGTGATAAGACGTAGACCCAGTTTTTAATGACAAACTGACTATTATGTGTATTATATGTATGTATGTATATTTTGTCATAATGTCTTGTAATATGTTTGGCTGTGTTAAAAAGGTTGTCTCATTTCAGGTGTTAATTGATAATTGTAACAGCTCCTTCACTTGTGGAGACTGTGCTCCATTTGGTTGTGCCAGCATGCAATTTTTTACACATTGGCATGGGTGGGGAAAGGGTGGAGTGCAGTAGGTATAATATTTAATCTCTATCAGATAATAAACAGAAGCAGGTGGGGAGATTTTCATACCCTTCAAGTGTTCACAAAGACACAACAGAACCTTTTTCATTTCCAGCCACAATAAATCATGTAAATTCTTTTTATTAGTTTGTATCATTTATGATGCTGATGCTGAGATATATGTGGCACTTTCACGTTTATGTCCTGCAGATGGTTTTTGGAGTGTTTTATGCCCTGATAAAGGTCTGCTTGAATGCAAGCCAAAACTGTCAAGTGGGTGAGTCAAGGGCAACAAAGGGAGGACCCAAATGCAGATAGTCCAGGCAGATAGGATGGGTTGACTTAAAGATGAAAATTACAAAGCTTACTGGCATGAGTGGCATGTCCGAACAGAATTGACTGAGGGTACGTGGTAGAAACAAAAAGTTAATCTGAAAGTTATTTGCAACTTTAGACCTGC